AAAAAAAAAAAAAAGACTTCCTCAACTCCCCCTCTCTCCCCATTCAGCCAGTGCTTATTGAGTATGTATCAAGCATGTGATAAGAACTGGGGCTGTTAACACTGAACTAGATGGACCCCAGACCTATTCCCGCCATCTTGGAGTTGGAGCAGATGAGTGTTGAATGACTTGATGGCGTGTGTGTTTCTGTAGGAACTATTCCTTCTATGCCTTGGACAACCAGAACCTAAGGCAGCTATGGGATTGGAGCAAACACAACCTCACCATCACTCAGGGGAAACTCTTCTTCCACTATAACCCCAAGCTCTGCTTGTCAGAAATTCACAAGATGGAGGAAGTTTCGGGAACCAAGGGGCGCCAGGAGAGAAACGACATCGCCCTGAAGACCAATGGGGATCAGGCATCCTGTAAGTGGTCCTGCCCTGGTCCTTTCAGCCCACGGACCAGAGAATGTGGCTGCCCTCCCCACACTGACCCCCAGGGGATGTCCCTGCCCCGTAGTGAGCTAAGACAATCATATCTAGGGAAGACTGTCTGAAATACTGAGAGCAGGTGTTGTACATCTTGTCTCTATGCCTGTTGCACTGAGGATGGTGCCTGATACCGGGAAGGTGCCAGGTAAGCATCACATGAACAGATGGATGGATGGATGGATGGATGGATGCATGGATGGGTGGGTGGGTGGGTGGGTGAGTGAATGAATCAGTGAGTGAATGAATGTGTGAATGAGTGACACCTATTTATATATGTATCAGGCCCAGTGCTAAAGCTGAGGAGTTCGAAGATGAGTAAAATGCCTGTGTCATTTTGGGTCTTCTGGGAAACAGATGCCAAGTTGGAGTCAGAAGTGTGAACAAAGTATTGGGGGTAATGTCTGTGGAGTATAAAAGGGGGATACAGGAGGATTGGGCAGGGAGAACCTTCAGACATCAGAGTGGGTCTGACCCTGTAAGTGGACACAGGGAAGGAAGGAGGATTGGACAGGAAGAACCTTCAGACCGTAGTGCATCCTGGCCAGGCCCAAGGGGAGTTCCAAGGCTAACATTGTCCATAGAGAGTCCTGTGTTGGACAGAAACGTCAGGCCTGCACTGTGCTCAGTCATGGGTGGGGCTTACCAGGGAGAGCAAGGCTTTGGCTTAAATGCTGCAGAGGATCCTGAAGACCCCACAGCTGGAGGCTAACTGCACTCCCCAGGACAAGGTCTCTTCTGACGGGGTGTCTGAATGGTGCCCCTTCAGGGCTTATATAACACCCGCACGGGGAGCTAGTTCCTCACGGCAGAACGCGGTCCAAGGTGTGGGGATTCAGAGAAGGGAGAACGAGATGGGGTTGGAGCTTAAGAAAGGACTTGATTCCCGGCAAAGGGGATTACCCTGATGTCTCCCTCCACACACTCTCTGCACTTCCTTTGTATGTGCTCATTTCTACTGGAGTTGGGTCTTCTGAGGTTAGTCTCGAAAATCAGTATGCAAGACAAAATTGTGTCAGGACGAACGTTTCTCTTGCAAATGCCAATAATGGTTGGCCCGTTGTCCTCTGGCATTGGAGCGAACAGCTGTTATTCAGTTGAGCACCCAGTGAAGTAATTGGCCTGTATTAGGGGCCTGGTTATACGGCCAGTTCTTGCATTTGAACCCCCCATTCACACGCAGCAGAGCGAGATGCTTACACAGGGAGAGGCACGTTGCAACAGCAGGGGAGTGTCAGATTGTCTTCTCCCTTCTCACGACAGCTTCTGGAGATGTGCAGTCACTGGCTTTGGCCTGAAACTATTTGATGCTTGTGTAGCCTGTTTTTTTCTTTTACTTTTCTAGGTGAAAATGAATTACTTAAATTTTCTTACATCCGGACATCTTTTGACAAGATCTTGCTCAGATGGGAGCCGTACTGGCCCCCAGACTTCCGAGACCTCCTGGGGTTCATGCTTTTCTATAAAGAGGCGTAAGTACAAGAGTGAGGAGTTCAGAAGACAGTGTGGGGGTTGGAGGCCAGCGAGCTTTGTGTCTGTTGTATGTGACTCAGTCATCTTCCCCGCTGGGGTTGCTCTCTGTTGCCCATTCTATGCACTGAATAAATCTCAGAGATTTAATTTTACCATCTCACTAGTGGATGGTGTATGATGCCAACGTTGTTGTTGTTCCTGGATGCCGTTGAGTCAGTTCTGACTCATAATGACCCCATGTACAACAGAATGAAACACTGCCCGGTCCTGTGCTATCCTCAGAATCATTGTTACGTTTGAGCCCATTGTTGCAGCCACTGTGTCAATCTATCTCATCGAGGGTCTTCCTCTTTTTCACTGACCCTCTACTTTTACCAGGCATGATGTCCTTCTCCAGGGACTAGGCCCTCCTGATAACATGTCCAAAGTATGTGAGACGAAGTCTCACCATCCTTGCTTCTAAGAAGCATTCTGGCTGTACTGTTTCCAAGACAGATTTGTTTGTTCTTCTGGCCGTCCATGGTGTATTCAGTGTTCTTTGCCAATACCAGAACTCAAAGGCGTCAATTCTTCTTGGGTCTTCCATATTTGTTGTCCAGCTTTCACAAGCATATGAGGCGATTGAAAATACCATGGCTTGGGTCACGCGCACTTAGTCCTCAAGGTGACATCTTTGCTTTTTAACACTTTAAAGAGGTCCTTTTTTGTTAAAAGCCAGACACTGAAGCAAACTTGTTTCTTTTGGAAATCCAGATTGGCTGAATTCCTGGAGGAATATTCCATTCTATGCCTCATGTGTACGACTCAACAGACATTCTCGGCGAAGGAGCTCAGTCCCTTAGTAGTTTCGAGTAAACAGCTGGGCTGGGATTTTAGGGAACGTAGTGGTCCCGGAGCAGGCATTGGTGGTTCAGTGGTGGAATTCTCGTCTTCCATGTGGGAAAACTGGGTCCCGTTCCCTCCCAACGCACCTCATGCGCAGCCACCACCTGTCTGTCCAGAAAGACTTCCGTGTTGCTATGGTGCTAACCAGATTTCAGTGGAGCTTCTAGACTGAGACAGACTAGGAACAAAGGCCTGGCAATCGATTTCCAAAAATTCAGCCAGTGAAAACCTTATGGTTCACAGTAGTCTGATCCACAGCTGATCGTGGGAAGGGCGCAGGACTAGACAGCGTTTCATTTCATGGTGTCGGGGGCTGCCATGAGTTGGGGCTGATTGATGGCAGCTAACAACAGTGGTCCAGGTAGTAATACTAGTAATGTTAATAATAGTTCCATTTCTCAAGATTTGATATGTGGTAGGCTGTGTGCTGAGAAATCACACATTTTCTCTCATGCAACCTTATCAATAACTCATAAGGTCATTGCTGCTATTATTATTGTTGTTGTTATAGGCAAATTGAGACTTTGGGGGTGGCTGCCACTTTCTCTTTGGGTGCTCCTTTATCTCTTTCCTTATGCCATAAGATTGGGCAGGTGACCTGGAGTCTTCTTTAAACCAAACAATAGTTTAGCTTAACTAGTAAAGAATGTCTGCCTTGAGCATTGTGATCTTTTAAGATCTGTCTATATGGGATCACATTGCAACTCAGAAGGTCAGATAGGAGGCTTCGGGGGCAGTGAGTTTATGTTAATGGGGGAGGAACAACTCAGAAGAGGGGGGTGAGAGTGCTGCCCAGCTCAAAGAATGGGATGAATGTCACTGAACTGTGTCTGTGGAAATTGTTCAAGTAGCGTATGTTCTTCTGTGTGTATTCTCAACAACAACGACAAATAAATAATTTAAAAAAAAAAGAAGAGGAAGAAGATTGGGGAGGCAAGTAGGACGCAGCCCAGTGTAACTGTTTGTAGCTTGCCCACCTCTGCAGTTCTCAGGGAAAATGGTAACCACCCTCTTCTCTCTTGTCTTGGAAGCCCCTATCAGAACGTGACAGAGTTCGACGGGCAGGATGCCTGTGGTTCCAACAGCTGGACGGTGGTGGACATCGACCCGCCCCAGAGGTCCAACGACCCCAAGTCACAGCCCCACCCCGGGTGGCTGATGCGGGGTCTCAAGCCCTGGACCCAGTACGCCATCTTTGTCAAGACCTTGGTCACCTTTTCTGATGAGCGCCGGACCTACGGGGCCAAGAGTGACATCATCTATGTCCAGACAGACGCCACTAGTAAGTGTTGTGGATATGAACTTGATCATGGATCAGACATCTTGCTATTAACAGGCCAGTACAGCAATGTTGTGTTAGATGCCCTTTCGCATGGTTATTGCTGCTATAGGTGCAGGGCTCCGAGGTTTTTATTTTCAGAAGATGAGGCAGTAGCCACAAGCCTTCTGAGGGGAATATGTATTTTCTCCTTCCTGAGGCTCCCTGGGTGGCACACATGGTTAAGCACTCAACTAGTAACTTAAAGGTTGGCGGTTACGGCCCACCCAGAGGGGCCTCAGAAGAAAGGCCTGGCAGTCACAGATCTACTTCTGAAAGGTCACAGCCATTGAAAACCCTATGGAGCACAGTTCTACCCTGACACACGGGGAGGGGCTGCCGCCATGAGTTGGATTCGACTTGGCGGCAACTGGTTTGGATTTTGGTTTTTATTATGGAAGATTTTCAAACATTCACAAAAGTAGGAAGAAGAGTGATTCTCCCATATAATCATCACCCAGCTGGAAAAGCTGCCAAGATTTTGCCATGTTTGCCTCGTGTCTGCCCCCCTCCACACACACATTTTTTTGGCTGGAGTATTTCATAGCAATTTAGCTATATTTTTATAAAGTGTCAGTCCTTTTCCTAGAGCAGTAGTTCTCCACCAGGGGCGATTTGGCCCCCAGGGAGACACATGGTAATATCTGGAGACATTTTAGGGTGTCATGACTTGGGGGATGCTACAGGCATCCAGTGACTAGAGGCCAGGGATGCTGCTGAGCACCCTACAGTGCACAGGATGGCCCCCACCTTAGGGAATGATCTGGCCCTTAATGTCAATCTGGCCCTGGTGGCACAGTGATTAAGCACTCAACTGGTAACCAAAAGGTTGATGGTTCAAAGCCACCAGCTGCTCCACCAGAGAAAGATGTGGCAGTCCGCTTCTGTAAAGAGTACAGCCTTGGAACCCTATGGGGCAGTTCTACTCTGTCCTGTAGGGTCGCTATGAGTCGGAATCAACTCAGTGGCTGTGGGTTTAATGTCAATAGTGCCGAGGCCAAGAAACCCTGTGTTTAATTGGAAAAAAATTGAGTTGGATCCCTGCTCACACCATATACCAGAATAAACTCCCAGTTGGTCAGACAGTGTAAACCAAGGTGACCCTCCAGCTTCTCTGATTTTCCTCCTCTCTCCCTTCTCACTCAGCGTGTGGATTTAAGTGTGCAGCATCCTAGGATGTCAGTAGGTCAGATGCTTATGGGACAGCAGAGTCTTTTGAGGGTGTTAAAATAATCAAAACTCACTGAAGTTTGAACATAAGGTTTATTCTGAGTAGTTATCCTATATGCATATAAAAAAAAAACAAGCTCGTTCCTGTCAAGTCAATTCCCACTCATATGGACCCTATAGGACAGAGTAGAACTGCCCCATAGGGTTTCCAGGGAGCAGCTGGTGGAGTCGGACTGCTGAGCTTTTGGTTAGCAGCCAAATGCTTAACCACTGCACCATCAGGGCCCCATATGCATATGGAGAGCCATTTTAATTCCAGAAAAAGCAATTGGCTCAAAGAAGCTAGGTACAATGAGGCTTATAAAGAGAAGAGGGAGAAGAATAGAAGATCAACCACTGGTTCATCTTAACATGATGGGTTGAACCCTGCCTTCCCCCTTTACTGAGGTCAACAGGTATCAGTTTACTTCTGGCCTGGCTGCTAATAATTTGGCTCTCCACCCACCTGCAGCCATGAGACTTTTTGAGATTTAAATTGGAGCCCTGGTGGTGCAGCGGCTAACAGCTCAGCTGCTAACCAAAAGATCGGCAGTTCGAATGCACCAGCTGCTCTTTGGAAACCGTATGGGACAGTTCTACTCTGTCCTATAGGGTTGCTATGAGTCAGAATGGACTCGAGGGCAATGGGTTTGGTTTGACAACTATCCTTTTCTGACAGGATAAGACAAATTTACATTGCTAAAGAGCAGCTCCTGGCAGGCTTTTGCAGTTTAGGTCAGGTTTTTTATGGTTAATATTTGGTTTCCTGGATACGAAAAACCCTAAAATCAAAGTAAGATGTCTGTTATTAATTTTCCTATTCAACATTGGTCCATGGAATCCGCTAACCTAGTGGGTCTCATCTGGGTACAGTTCTGCCCCAGGGGACCTTGGGCAAAGTTTGCAGAAATTTTTGGTTGTCATGACCTGGGTGGGAGTGCTACTGGCATCTAATGGGTGGAGACCTAGAGATGCTACTCAGCACCCTACAATGCACATGACAGGGCCCCCATGACAAAGGATTGTTGTTGTTGGATGCCGTCGAGTCGACTCGGCTCTTAGTGACACTGTGTGACAGAGTAGAACTGCCCCATAGGGTTTCCTAGGCTGAAATCTTAATGGGAGCAGATCGCCAGGCCTTTCTCTCACAGAGCTGCTGGGTGGGTTTGAACCGCCAGTTTTTCGGTTAGCAGCTGAGTGCTTAACCGTTGTGCCACCAGGGCTCCTGCTTGACACAGCATGAGAATCTGGTACAAATGGCCTGTGATTTTGTAACCCACCCCCTTGTTGGGTGATCGTTCCACGTGTCTCCATTTTTCCCAGATTTTAAATAACACTGCAGCGAACATCCTCATGATTTCCTTGTGTGCTGTCCACTTAGCCCGCACTCTTGTCCTCATGTCCTCATGGTGGACCTGTTTCCTTTCTCCTTCCAGATCCTTCCGTCCCCCTGGATCCGATCTCGGTTTCTAATTCCTCATCCCAGATTATTTTGAAGTGGAAACCCCCCTCGGACCCCAATGGCAACATCACTCACTACCTGGTTTTCTGGGAGAGGCAGGCGGAAGACAGTGAGCTGTATGAGTTGGATTATTGCCTCAAAGGTGAGTGTGGGTAGGTGTGCTGGAAGCAGCTGGTTCCACACAGGTATCATCCACTCTGCCCCCTTTCCACAGAAGCCCATCTTTCCACGTGTTTCGCAGTATGGATACGTGCACACACTGTTCTATCTCATATGAAAACACACACACAGACGCACGTCTGAACATCTCAACACAAGTACACCCTGAAGCCATGTGTCCAAACCCAGATACTTACCATGCCCTGGCAGCGTCGCCTCTGGAATTTTCTCCTCCTCTCCCTGCCCTCCCCTCTCTTCCCTTCCCCTCTCTGTCTTTCCCCCTCACCCCACCCCGCACACTGATGTGGATGTGGCTGAGTTAACCCATGCAGGACTTCTGTGCAAGGCTAGAAACACAGACGAGAGAGTTGAGAAGTCATTGACAAAGTCCAGGAAGGATTTGGGCCCCATTTAGACCCTTTAGTTTGAGAAAATGAGCCACTGGTGGTTTGGTGGTAGAATTTTCACTTCCCAGGCGGGAGACCTGGGTTTGATTCCTGGCTAGTGCACCTCATGCAGCCATCACCCATCTGCCAGTGGAGGCTTGCTTGTTGCTAGGATGCTGAACAGGTTTCAGCAAAGCTTCCAGACTAAGGCATACTAGGAAGAAAGGCGTGGTGATCTGCTTCTGAAAATCAGTGAAAACCTCTATGGATCACAGTGATCCAATCCTCAACCAGCTAATCATGGAGATGGAGCAGGACTGAGCAGCGTTTCATTCTGTTATGCATGGGGTCACCATGAGTTGGGGGGCCCACATGACAGCAGCTAACATAACGTAACGTAACTTAATGTAACATAATGTAACATTGTAACGTAATGTAACATAGCATAGCATGACATAACAAGCTTTAAAAAAGGGTCTTCTGGATCACAGAGACAACAAGAAGCAATAATCTCTAATTCTGTCCTGTACTTTCAATTACCGCATTTTTATGCAAACAATGCACACCTTCTACGTTTGTTTGCCAACTGCGCCCTCCCCCAAGAAAGTATTTTCATAAGCGCCGTTATGCCCGATTTTTTTTTTTTTAACATGTTGCTGTAAAAAACAATTAGCCTAGGGGCGCTTACGAAAATACCTTGCGGTGGAGGGCATGGTTGGCAAACAAATGTAGAAGGTGTGTGTTATTTGCGTAAAAATACAATAAACATTTATACAAACATTTTTTTCCGGTTTTTCATCTTGTGTATTTAATATGACTCCCTCCATCTGAAGGGAAGTGGAAAATCATATTTGAAACCTCCAATTAGTTTGTAAAATTTGGTTTAAAATTAATTTGAAACTGGATTTAAAAGAAAACCCCCACCAAACCAGAGAACCCTAAGTCAATTTTTTCTTTAGGTTTCCCTCCCGCCTCCCCTTTATTTGTTTTCCCTTAGATGTTTTGGAGTCAGGGATATCCTCAGCCCTTGACCTTGGAGGTGATGTTGGAGGAGGGCGGCTAGTGAGGCCAGAAATCCCAAGGTTTGCCCTCGGTGCCTTCTGTGACCTGCTGTAGGGCTTTGGGCAAGTCACGGAGTAAGCCGTTGTGTGTGTCTGCCTCCTTTTTGGGAGAAGGGGTAGAGGACAGATGGTCTCCGGGAGCCATCCCAGCTCTCCAGTCATATGCTATATGTATGCCTGTGACCTCATCCCCTGCCTGAGCCGAGGGTTACAAACGTGATTTATCTCCTCAGCTGCTTTATATAACTTGAGAGCAAGCCCGGTTGCTGGCCTGGCCGCAAGCTGTGGGCCCTGCATTCAAGTAACAGAAACCACCAGCTAGAACCGTTACACGCGCCTCATCAGTGCTGTACTTTTATGGTTCCAGAAAAAAACACGGGCACCTCATATGCAGCCACCACCCATCTGTCAGTGACGGCTGGCATGTTGCTAGGATGCTGAACAGGTTTCAGCGGAGCTTCCAGACTAAGACGGAGTAGGAAGAAAGGTCTGGAGGTGGACTTCTGAAGATCAGCCGATGAGAAGTTGTGCATGGGGTTGCCGTGAGTCAGGAGCCAACTTGACAGCAGCTAACAAGAAGTTTCATGCTGCGGTTGCTAGAAAGGGGTAACAGCCATCAGGAGCCCTGGCAGTGACCCGTGAACATCCCTTCTTCCGCAGAAAAATGTCATGAGTCCCCTTTACTAAGAAAATCTTACCTTATTGTTTTTTTCTTTCTTCAATCCATAATGCTGTAACTAGCCCCCTCAATGTCAAATCAGCCAAGTTATTCTGTGTCTGTTAATAAACTTAGAAGTCCCGGGGTGGTGCAGTCGGTTAACGCACTCAGCTGCTAACCGAAAGATTAGAGGTTTGAACCCACCCAGAGGCACTTTGGAAGAAAGACCTGGTGATCTGCTTCCAAAACATCAGCCATGAAAACCCCGTGGAGCACAGCTCTCCTCTGACACACACAGGGTCCCCATCAGTCAGAATAGACTCAGTGGCAACTGGTATTAATAAATATTTTTAAGAGTCGGCAGGCTTTCGAAGCTTTACGAACACTTGTGCTTCCACGTGGGTATTCATTGTTCCCAGGAAGGCACTTGACCCTTATCTAGAGCTCACTGTCTACTCTTGAGGCACTTAAGGGGCTGGAATAAATGGGGTTTGCTTTGCTCAACAGACATCAGGCACCTGGTGAGTGCAGAGCCCAGCCAGCCCCGAGGGCTCACCGTGGGAAAGATGATTCTGAGGGTCCTTCATGGATTTTATTCAGTAATGAGTGTTTTTGTTGTTGGGTGCCATTGAGTCGATTCTGACTCATAGCGACTCATGTGACAGAGTAGAACTGCCCTGTTGGGTTTCCTAGGCTGTAATCTTTACAGGAGCAGATCGCTGGATCTTTCTCCCTTGGAGCGTCTGGGTGGGTTTCGCACCGCCAATCTTTTGGTTGGCAGCTGAATGCTTAACCCTTGTGCCACCAGGGCTCCTCTGTAAGGAGCATGTTGTCCAAACCTCACGGCTGTATGAGCAGGTTCCAGAGAGCTTAAGAGGCATGATTGTGTCACATGGCAGGTAAAGGCGCTGCTAGGATGTGACCCCAGGGCTCAACACCACCAAGGGTTATTTAAAAACCGGTTTTGTATTTTCAGGGCTGCTACCTGGAGAAGGGAGCCCTGGTGGTGCAGTGGTTAAGAGCTCAGCTGCTAACCAAAAGGTCGGCAGTTTGAATCCACCAGCTGCTCCTTGGAAACCCTATGGGGCAGTTTCATAGGGTCCCAATGAGTTGGCATTGACTTGATGGCAACGGGTACGGTACAGGTACCTGGAGAAGAAAGTTCCCTGGGTGGCAGAAACTGTTTGTGCTTGATTACTAACCTGAAGGTTGGCGGTTCGAACCCACCCAGTGGTGCCACAGAAGAAAGACCTAGCAATCTGTTCCCGTAAAGATTACAGCCTGGAAAACTCCATGGGGCAGTTCTCCTCTGTCACATGAGTTGCTATGAGTCGGAATCAACTCAGTGGCAACAGGTTTGGTTTTAGTTTGGTTTACCTGGAGAAGTTGATGTTCTTTTTTTTTCCCTTTCCTGTGTCTATTGGAACAATTTCTTCCCTGATCTCTTCTAATGTCATTGGTCCAGGGTTTTTCTACCTCGGCACTGTTGACATTTGGAGGGGGGCTGCGGTGTGCATTTGTAGGATATGCAACAGCCTCCCAGGTCTTCACCCACTCAATACCAGCAGCTCCCCCTCCTCCCGAGCTCTGACAACTAAAAATGTTCCCAGACATTGCCCAGTATCCCCCAGGGGTCAGAAGTCGCCGCAGGTGAGACTACTGCTTTAGTCTTAACTTCTAGATTCAGGACCAGACATTGGAATCTTTCATTGGTGCCACAGATTGGATGCTCACTATAATCGTCAGGTTTACAGGTCAGGCCCCTTAGAGTTCCAGTGGAATTCTACTCTGCCTCCTTGTCACTTTATATTTGTGTGCTCAGTTGATTGATTGATTCATTCATTCAGCTGTGACCTAGCCCCCGACACTCGCTCTCTGGCCCACACCCCCTTCTAGCTACACTGGGCCTTTGCTGTTTCCAGACATGCCAAGAAAATTCCTGCCTCAGGGCCTTTGCACTTGCTTTTTGGGCTGCCTGAATTGCCTTCCCCTAAGATATATGCAAGGAACCCTGGTGGTGCAATGGTTAAGCACTCAGCTCCTAACTGAAAGGTTGGCTGTTCAAACCCATCCAGTGGCTCTGCGGGAGAAGAGACCTGGCAATCTGCTCCTGTAAAGAGTACAGTCTAGGAAGCCCTATGGGGCAGTTCTGCGCTGCACATGGGGGCTGCTATGAATGGAAACTGACTCAACAGCACCTAAGGAGGACAAGAAGATATATGATTGGCTCACTGCTTTACTTAATTTCAGGATTGCTCACAGGTCTTGGTCTGCGAGACAAAAACAAACAAACCACAAACCAGTTGCTGTCGAGTTGATCCTGACTCATGGCCACCCCGTGTGTGCAGAGTAGAAGTGCTCCATAGGGTTTGCAAGGCTGGACCTTTCAGAAGCAGAGTGCCAGAGCCTTCTTCTGAGATGCCTCCGCGTGGGTTCGAACTGCCAACTTTTTGGTTAGGAGTCGAACACTTAACCATTTCAACCACCCAGGGACTCCTTTCTCCAAGACTACTCCATAAAAAATAGCATGTCCACATGCCCTCTGTTCACTCACCCTGCTTTTAAGCATGCACCACCGTCTTATCCATGTGTATGCATTTATTAATGCATTGTGTACACCCTCCCCACTCCGCCCATTAAAATGTAAGTTCCAGCAGGGCAGGGAGATTGTCTGGGTCCCTTACAGTCCCAGCCCCACAGAGTCACAGTGTCTGATAGTTTCCAGAACACGTTGATCTGCCTTATCTCAGTTGAGGCTCCCAGGACTCTGGAGAGGGAGGTTTTCGTTTTTGCGGTGGAACTCAAACCCGGCCCCTAGCCCCAGGCTCTGTCCCTTGCTGCTGTTAGTTGCCGTCAAGTCGGCCCCTGACTCATGATGACCCCCATGCACGATGGATCAAAACACTGCCTGGTCCTGCACCATCTTCATGATCAGTTGAGAGGGACCATTGTCATCCATAGGGTTTTCATTGGCTGATTATCGGAAGTAGATTGCCAGGCCATTCTTCCTAGTCCGTCTTAGATTGGAAGCTCCACTGATGGGTGGTGACTGCACAGGAACCCAGGTCTCCTGTATGGAAGGGGAGCGTTTTACCACTGAGCCACCAATGTCCCCTCTGTCTCTTGAGTATAGCCCTTCTCTCTGTGGAAGCTCCCATTGGTTTGTGTGCGTGTGCTGGGGTCGGGTGCAGTGGAAGACTCGAGCCCCCCTGCTCTGCCTGTCTGTAGGGTTGAAGCTGCCCTCCCGGACCTGGTCTCCGCCGTTCGAGTTGGAGGATTCCCAGAAGCACAATCAGAGTGACTATGAGGAGTCGACCAGCGAATGCTGTGCCTGCCCCAAGACTGACTCTCAGATCCTGAAGGAGCTGGAGGAGTCTTCATTTCGCAAGACGTTCGAGGATTACCTGCACAATGTGGTTTTCGTTCCCAGGTCAGACTTCTCGCGAGTGTCGATGGCTTGGTGTTGGGGGGACGGGCGGTACATAGGAAACCCAATGAAAGGGGGGCGCTGAGCCACAGGAGGGTGAATGGAGTCCCAGTGGCGCCTCTTCCTTGGACAGAGAAAAAGATCTTGCCATTCAATAGGAGACTTCCCAGGAAGATCAAATAATCAGGAAAAAAAAAAATTCTATTCTAGAGGAAAACTTCTAAGACCTAGCGTGTGCTTTTTCCTACGTCTCCCAAAATCATTGCCCTAGCCTCCAGGTTTCCATCAGAGTTCTGAAATGAACTCGGTTAGCTGATGGAGGCCAGTCCTGACAAATGCCTGCCTGCCACCTGTTTGATTTATCCCGAGTCCAAACTCAGTGCAGTCTCTTTATGTTTTAGCCACACTGCCTGCCATTCATGGCACCATCAAAAGCCAGCGGCTTCCCCTGTTTACATGTGTTGAGTTTCCTTGAGCTTGTAAAGGGACTTGCTAATCTACTGAGACGGTTTGCGGTTACAAAGTCAGTGGGCACCAGCCCCTTCTCTCTCTCATCCCCATCACCCGGGACCAGGTCAGCAGGCAGCAGCCCCTTCTCTCTCTCATCCCCATCACCCGGGGCCAGGTCAGCAGACAGCAGCCCCTTCTCTGTCTCATCCCTGTTCACCTGGGGCCAGGTCAGCAGGCAGCAGCCCCTTCTCTCTCTCATCCCCATCACCCGGGGCCAGGTCAGCAGGCAGCAGCCCCTTCTCTCTCTCATCCCC